GCCTCCCCCTGACAACCCCCCCCCCCTCCCCCGCCCTTCTTCATGTTGCGGCTCCATTTGTGCCATAAAACTTCTTTGCCTGTCATGTGCTCACTAACTACTTTTCCTCATCTGTTTTAGCCTTGCCTCATACCTCTGTGACAGGCAGGCTGACCAAGTCTGCTTCGTACTAAAACTGGGTTGAAACCGCATTTCAGCCCAGGATTCAGGGAATTCAGGCCCTGTGCTACACCTCGACACATTCAAAAATGACAGATGGATTTTTTTTAATCTGCTGAGCGAAAAGTCAGATGGAGGAGTAGGCCGGAGTTTTAAAAGGTTAAAGAATAAACATGTTTTCATAAACGGCAGATGCAACTTGCTGCGCATGTTGAAGATGGTCCTGTTGACAGGGACCATAATATACGTAGCAATTAGTCATAACAAACAATACAGGTCAGAAATAGTTGCAACAAAGTTTATAAATAGATTAAAATAGCAATCATAGCACTGATTTGGGATCAACACCGAATGTTCTGACCTCCCGTTCCAGAAATAACACTGCATTGTTTTCTGCAACCCAAGTAAATATTACCACATTTGAGCCTTGAAAACTCCACGTGACTGTGTACTTCCACTTATCCCAAACTACCTGTTGAATGGGATGTTTATATTGTATAAATGAAAATGCAGTGTTGACATGAACTATTTCAACGCTCGAGAAACGTCATTGGCCAACGATCCTGGGCAGAAAATGTTTTTAATTGCAATTTTATGCAAGGTTGACTGTCCTTTGTTCTTTGTGCATTCACATTGCAACATAACAACTGTTATGGCCTAATTGAGTAAAAAAAATATATAAATATATTGTACAGTTTGGGGGAAAAATATAACAATATTGGCAGAAACTACAAGTCTTAGTCAGAGCTGGTGTGTCCCCACCAAAACTAGAAGCGAGGACACACAATTGAGTCCAAACACAGATCGTACTTTGTGTAATAACTTTGCAGACAACCTTGAGCTCTTCCTTCCTGCTGACATTTTGACTGTCAGGGTTAGAGCAGTGGTTAGGTTTTCCCCTTCCCTCGTGTTTTCCTACTTTTCTATGTGGGCGTCTCCTCTGCTTGCTCATCCAAGCTACAACACATCAACAACAGTTCCTCTGTGACACTCTTAGTTAATGTTTCAGTCTTGCACTCTACTTCTCACCTACACACTCCTCAAAATGCCCTCAAAAAGTATTTGGAGTATTACATAAGAATTATTTACTGGTTGAAAGGAAGATGGACCGATTAGGCCTTTGACCGCAGATGCTGAAACCAACTTCAGTTTCATTCGGTCTGCTGTGACAAAGTGCAGGAATTCCAGAACGGTTTACCAATTAATGTTGCGTACAGCAAAGAAGTAATAGTGAGTTGCCATTTCATCTTGCCGATACCGTTACAATTTTAGTCAGACACACAGTGATTCGAAATCTATATTTCTCGCTTTAGCATAGAAAATAATTTGGAAGATAACTTTTGACGTTTGACTTTTGTTACCATGACAATCTGCAGCCACAAGCTGGTTGAAGCCAAATGTTGCTCTTCCAAAATAACTATTGGTGGATTTGAGAATCATGACCATCTTGCCGAGCACCATGTTGAAGTTACGCTAGTTCTTCTTGGACTACTGCTGGCATCTGCGGTCTGCTTCTCGGCTCTATGGGTAATTCTGTAAAGAAAGAAGAAGAAGCTAAGATGACAAACAAGTCATTAAAAAAAAGACAAAATTTGATTGTTTTATTGTGTGAAACCCATAAGTTAATAATTCCACAAAATGAGTCCTGAAGTGAGGGACGCCATCAAAAAGAAGTTCTATCAGACTTTTTTGGCAGGCCAAGCAGAATGCAACTTGAATGGTTGCTGAGGCGAAAACTCAATCGTTGAGCTCAAGGAAAGCCGAGGTGATTGAAAAAGGTCCTCGGGGACAGGGCGCTCGGGATAAATTAGGTCAGCCAAGAGTTCCCAACAGCTCTGGATGTTCAAGGGGCTCTGTTGTTTGACCCACCTCTCAAACTAAATGTGGACATAGGAGACCATGCCTCTGGACTAATAGACCAGGATGGTGGACCACATTTCCAAGAGCGAAACTGTAAGATCTATGCCAATAAAAGGGGAACACAATCCTCAGCTTCCCTGGTAAAATCTATCCTGTGGTTCTTAAGAGGAGGATCCATCGTGTAGTTGAATCTCCGATATTTGAAAACACCCACCATCGACCAGCATAGGTGGTCATAACATATGCTGGTTTTATGCTATTCTTGCTGGATCAATATACAATCAGCTTGCTTTGGTGCGGTTCAGCCACCAAATGGCATGTATGCATAGTAGAAGAGCTCTGCGAGGATACGATGTGACTAAAATGTATTAATCAGTATTATGGTCCTGAATATATAGCATCCGTCTGCGCTCCCACATATTTCGACAAAAAAAACAAAATTCAGCGTGGCTTTACCCGCTGTCTCGTCTCCCATTGCTTCCTCCTCTGCTCTGACTCCAACAGATTGTAGAAATCATATTCGGGTCTGAGGATCAGCTCCTTTGGACTTTCCTCCATGTTGCCGGCCTCGTCCCTCACTTTCTGAGCCCTGAGGATCTTTTCGCGCTTCGTCTCACGTTCCAACATCTTACAGCAGCAAGACGGACACAACGGGTTCAGCAACGTGATGTAAAACGTATTCTGATGTTAACTTAGTCATTATTAATAAGTAATTATTCAACATTTGGTATACCTCACCTCTCCCAGGAGGGCCTGCTCATTATTCTGTTGGGTGCACAGTCCTTTTGAGATTTCCATTAGAGAGATAACACCCAACTGAGAACCGCTAACTACCTTGGACCCAGCCTCATGCACCTGGACGCAACATAGAGGTTCATCACGCACCTGAAAAAAACAAAAAAAAACCCATCTTGTTGATTAAACAAGAGCAAAATGCTTTCACGGAAGCATGAGAGAATTCCTTGACACCTTGACACTTAGAGTGGGGTCATTCTGCTTAAACAAGATGTCCCAGATGTCCAGCACACCATCCATCTTCACGGTGAAGAAGAGCGAGGGTCTGACAGGACTCCAGCAAGCATCTGTTAAGTATGCCGTCTGGTGCCTGCTCACAACAAAGCCTGGTCATTGACCGCTCCCCAAATACATCCGAGATTGAAGCAACCAAAAGGGTGTGAAAAGTAACGACAATGACAGACCGTAAAGCAAGATGAAAACAGATGAGAACAAAATAAAATTGTACTTCGTCCACATGATCGATGACTCCTTGATGTCCTCTGACCAAATACGGGCGCCCCAGTCTCCCACGGTGAGGAAATTTTGCGAAAAGAAAGGGTTCTTCTGGATGGCATAGACAGGTCCATGGTGGCCATCGTATGTACAAACAATCTTCTCAGCCGGAGTCTCAGCTGCTCTGTTACAGTACACAACAGCCCCTTGTTCCGTTCCCACTATGAATGTATCTGGCTGTGGGTACAGAGGATGGTTATTATGAGCGCTCCAAAGCTTCACATATTTGTAAAGATTTTATTCATCAGATCGAGAGGAAAGAATTAAAACAATGCAAGGTTGCTGTAGATGTTAGGCACCACGGAGACAGGATGCGTTTGGGCATATTTTATTCCGACAGTCCAAATTGATTATCTAACGCACAGGTGTCAAAGTCAAGGCCCGGGGGCCAGATCTGGCCCGCCACATCATTTTATGTGGCCCGCAAAAGCAAATCTAAGCATGTCAAGTTCCATGATGCTTGCTGAAGTCTGAACCAAAATTTCAAATTGTCACATGTAATCCCCAATGACAGTCATTATTCTTGATTTCTGATTTTAAAACTAGTTATTCATCAATTTGTTGTGCGCTGTGTTTGTAATATGTGGAGGTGATTAAACATTTATGTGGTTTCCAAAAATTCATAACGGCCCTCCAAGGCAAACCGTAACTACAATGTGGCACGTGACAAAAATGAGTTTGACACCCCTGATCTAATGTTTAACAGGTAACAATTTCCGAGCCCCAGGACGGTTTGAAGAAGTCAGTATGAGAATGTTAAACGAGCTGAAGCCCTTACACCCAACATGAGTTGGCCAAATATGAGCACTCCCTAACATTGTGACCCACTCTTGTTTTCTCTCCATTCAATTCAAAATATGCTGAACATTTTAGAAGGACAGAAACTAACCATGGTCACGCTGTACGCCATTGAGATGGCTCCTAAAGCATTGTCTGGGTTTTCCTTCCGACTCAGGTCCAGCATCAGTCGCTCTGTGGGCTCACTCATTTGACGCACATCCCACCACAGTATCTGTTTTAGAAAATAGTGCTCACTCCGTTTTGCTGAACCTTCCAAAAAAAAAAAAAACAAAAAACGTATGCTTTGTCAACCTGTCCATCGGTGGAGGCAGAGAAGGCTTCTGTCTCAGTAGCGGATTGCAACCAGATGATCTCGTAAACAGGGTCCATATGACTCTTCTCTAAAGGGGAAACTGTCGTAGGGTGTTGGCCAGCACGAGGGTCCCATAACACTGAAAGAAAGGACACCTCATTGAGGATAAGCATGTCTCAAGAGAATCATCAAGTGTACTCTATTCATTTGTTGTTGTTGTTTTTTTAAACCAGAACCCACTGATCTGTCCATTGAGGCTCCCACTGACAAGAAAGTTAAGGTCCTGGGGGTTGTAAGCCAGACAAACAAGTTGAGATGTCGGTTTGAGAACACTCCGCGGTTTGTTGGGGCTCTCTGCAACACATACACAGTGGTGAGAGTCCGTGCGATTCTCAATCCGTCTTGTCTATTTTACCCACCAATGTCCCAGATGTACGAGTCTTTGCTTAAGTCTGCTGTGGCTTTCTGCCACTCAAGGCAGGAGTAAGCCGCCGCCAGGTTTGAGCCGCCACTGGGTTGCCAAGAAAGACAGGTGATGTTTCGTTTTACCTGATTCGGGTCTCTGAAGAAATATTTTACAACAATGAGAGGCAGTACAGTACAGGGTGAAAAATTGGTGGTAGACCCTTTAAGAACAAAGGGTCAACAGTACCTGTATTTGTTGACGATCTTCACCGAAGGGGCTTCCTGAATTTCATCCAGCAATTCCTCATCCTTAAAGTACTCTTGGTAAATGTCCACAGCATTGTTCTGTCCAACACATTGTGCTATAAGCTGAATGACAGAACATTTTGAGATTTTTTGGCGGGTGTGGGTAACTGGTTGTGGTAGCAAACCTCGGTATTTCTTGAAGAAACGGTGGACTCCTTTGTGAACTTACCTCGCCTAGCACCTGAATGCTATTCATGTAGATTTCATCTTTCTCCACCTTTTTTCGAAAACGAATAGTTTGCTCCATCTCTAGTGAGTTGATATCTTTGGGCCACCCCCCTTCCACATGATTTATTCCCTGAATGTCATACTCGATCCTTTCTGTGTTAACCTGGAAGGAAACATTATCAAAAGGCCTGTTTCAAGAAGTGCACCGACATCTCACCAGCAGCCAGTGGGTTTATTGTTATCGTTTGAATCGTATCTTGACATTGTACCGTATTTTCCGCACTAAAAGGTGCACTGGATTATGAGGCGCACCTTCATTGAATGGCCTATTTTGTAATTTTTGTTCACATATTGGACGTACCGCATTATAAGACGCAATCTACAATGTATCCACTAGATGGAGCTACGCTCAAGGAAATACCAACAGAACGATCAGATGTCAGTAAAACGTATTTAATCAAGCAGTGACATGGTTCACTTAACCAACAGCAAGTTATAACGTTGACTTGTTAACGTTGAACTGTCTTGCCGCTGCACTATTTCTGTGTTCAACTGCGTAACCCGATCGCCTTGGCGTTTCGGTCACCTCATGCTCCGACATTTCCCAGCAGCCTTGCACTCCCAGGTCTCTTGTCTCCTTCAGAACGAACTGCATTGCCAGTTTTGGGTTCGGAGGAAGATCGACGAGCAGCTCCACATGACGGTCTGAAAAGAGACACTGGCGACCAAAGTCACTACGCAGCTTCACATATTCATGAACGATCTCCATCCCTGCTGAGGGATGACTTTGAATAAGGTCAGAAACGTAGGAATGATTGCATTGAAAGCACAAACGGGAGTGGGAAAGAACAAGAAAATCAAATGTCGTTGGCTTCTACCGTTGTTGCTATAGCTACAGTAACATTTAACTTGATAAAGGAATTAAAAAAGGCAAAATGACATCCAATTTAACTAACCTTCGAGCTAAACAGTTATAAATAACTAAAGCGTTGTCGTCACAAAGATTAAAACATCACGTCAAAGACAGGAACTATGACATGTTGTGATGTCGTTTTCTTGTATTTTCAAATAGTTTGGTTTCACTTGCCCCATCAAAGATCCCAGACATAGATTATTGATGTACTTGAAGAGAGACTCCAGATGAAGAATGTTCGACGGGAGGATCTCAGATATTTTGTCACTGAAACATGTTCAACCGCTGGCAATTGATTGATGATTGGGGGCGTCGAAAGACTGCGTGGCTGCAAGACTTTAAAACTAAAATAATGTAAGCAGCATGTCTGGTTGTTCTGAGACAAATGAGAACAGCACGTTGTTCAGTGTTTTGCGGCTTTAACACTTCATTATATGGGAGAAGCAGCAGGTTAAACACCTTAGTAAGTGCTCGCAGATGGTGCTGAGTTGGCAGATGTAAATGTCCCTTTGGCAAATACTTTCTCATGGAATGAGAAATGGAATAGGAGACCATTTTTAGGATCAATGGCACGCCTGCAAACATAGCCAGCATAGTCAGACGGGAGGAAATATTTTGAAGATAATGTATAGAAGGGTCAATAGGTTAGGAATATAGTCTCTCTTTTGGGTCTTTTTTCCCTCTTTCTCCTTCACTATAGCCCTCACGCCCTTCCTGTTTCCCTCAAAAAGTTACAGAAAAAAAAATGTGTTTCCAATTAAGCACTGGGGGGGAAAAAGAACAACTCGCAACTGCTGGGCACTTTTACAACTCTCCCTCCCTCCAAATAGCTCATTCAAGTGTACTTTTAGTTTAAAAAAAAAACACATACAGTAAGTAGGCTTATGACACATTTGGAACTGTGCTTATATTATTTAGATATTTGACACCTGGAATATTTAGTTGCATTGTTTTCTGTTGTTTTGTTTGTTTGTTTTTACACAGGATAGACTGGAATCAAGATTCAACTCAACTCAATCATATTTTTAGTGCACTTTTGAAAGATTCACAGCTGCATAAAAAGTGATGCATTGTACATGAAGTAAACATCAGACCTATAAAAACCAAGATGGTTTAAACAATACTATAATAACAAAGACAGTAAACACAAGAACAACTGTGCAGTCTCATGCTGAGTCAAAAGCCAAAGAATAAAAGTGTGTTTTCAGACGAGTTTTATAGATAGGCACAGAGGGGGCTTGCATATCATTAAACAGAAGCTCAATCCATAGGGAGGGACCGGCAACGGAAGAAGTTCAATCCCCTCTGAGGCTCTGCTTAGTCCTCCAGTAGCATCTGACTCGTTGACCTGATGCATGGGGCAGATACATAAAGGTACAGGAGCTCAGAGAGGCAAGGTGAGGTGAGACCATTTATAGATTTAAAGACAAACGAAATCATTTCAAAATGAACTCTAAAATGTGCCAGTGAAGGGAGGCCAGAATTCGAGTTATGTGCTCCCTCCAACGACCAACCAAGGAGGCAATTACTGTAGCAGTATTTTGGACCAACTGGAAACATTTGAACGAGATTCCAACATAGAGCATTACTGTAATTCAGCCGAGGTGTACCAAAGGCACAGCTGTGTCTCGCAAAGAAAAAAGCTTCATTTTACTTCTTCCTACTCCCTTGAACATAATAACTGTGTTGAATGATGACTAATTTCTCTTTCCTCTTTACTATTTTATTTAACATAGAGCATTACTGTAATCCAGCCGAGGTGTACCAAAGGCACAGCTGTGTCTAGCAAAGAAAAAAAAAAAGCTTCATTTAACAAGAGCACTAATTTGCCAGTTCAATTTAAAATCAGTATTCAGTTTAAAAGCCAAAATACTTTGAGACTGTTGGCTTCAGGTAAGATGCGAGAGGGCCCAAGTAAACAGGGTCAACTGTACAAGGGCCAATGGGATCAAACACTTGAAGTTCAACAAGTTTAGTGTCATCCAGGCTTTGATTGATTAAAACTGAATTGTGTTTTAATACATGCACATATTTATTATCAGGACATTTACTGCTTAATTTGTGATTTTTTTTTTTGGTCTCGGAAGTTTACTTCCGAAAGTGAAATTTATTCGAACTAATTTTTTTGTACGGCTTTTTCTAAAGCGCCACGTCACTCCTAATTTATTGGTCGAATCCGTTCTGTTCAGCATTAAATACTGAAGCATACAGACGAAAGATCACATTTCCAAACAGTTTGGGGCAAACGCTCACAATTTTGTTCGTTTGCACACACGCAGCAAATTCAAGCGCCTCACATGACGTCACGTACACACGCACGCGGACCCACTGTGGAAAATGACAGCGAAATCTAGTTTTGGATATTGTTGTTCAATAAACAAAACTAGATTTCGCCGTCATTCTCCACAGTGGGTCCGCGTGCGTGTGTACGTGACGTCATGCGCAGAAATCAAGGTCCCTTCTTGGCGCGTGCACGCATCGAGGAGCGAGAACGGGAGAGAGAGAGAGAGAGAGAGAGAGAGAGAGGCAGTGAGAGCGGCGCGCCAGGCACCAGGAGGAGAGCATCTTGCGACTTCATGTGGGAAGGAGAACTGCAACTTTCCGCAGAGGAAAAAAAAAAAAGTGTTGCGTATTTATTTGGACATACAATGCGACTGCCCGGCTTCATGTTGGATTTTGACACCTCACCACTTTGACAGGAGCGCAGCCCGAGTCTGTATGCTCTGTGGGGGGAATTTCAGGATTTCCCGAGTCAAACTTTTTGGTCTGGACATCTAGGAAGCCACTCGGGAAGCATACAAAACCATCTTTGTACTGCTCTCTCTCTCTGGGAACATACATTGTAAGTATAACTTCTTACTGGAGTAATTATAAATTCACTTAATTGACAAAGCAGGAAAAAAAAGTGGATTGTGTTATGACCGTCAGCGCCTCTGTTTATGCATGCGGGTATTTTTACATAAGCATACCTGCCACGTAGACGTGCTTGACAAAGTATTTGTTTCTGGCAATCGATCGTTTGATCATGGCATTAGCAGATGCCTCAATGTGCCTTGTGCTCCTTTATTGGGATTGATAAAGGGAAAGGGGCACAAACAGCGAGGGGCTGACTGCGCCACGGAGGTTGGGAGCTTCAGCTTGGAATCAGATAACTGGTCTTAATCACTCAAACAGGCATGTCAGGCTGGATTCAGTCCGATGTTATAAATTTAACACCGCCCCCTCCCCCATGCCCGCCCAAACTTTTTTTTTTATTTCATTTTTATGATTTTTTTTAACCCCCTCAGTCATCATCAATCAAGCTGACACTTTGCAAGGCAAAAATAAGGTTGTCTTAGCGGAGCTGTTTAAATCCAAATTTCCGTAAACAATCCCCATCATCTTTGAAGCTGGATCTCAGCATCCAGCTGACACACCTTTGCATAGACAAGTCAAACTAGGCAAATTAACGTGTGTGTGTGTGTGTGTGTGTGTGTGTGTGTGTGTGTGTGTGTGTGTGTGTGTGTGTGTGTGTGTGTGTGTGTGTCAGCAGGGCACTGTTTACTTACCATTTATGATCACAACCCTCTGGGGGTCTTTGATGTGATGGCAGAGTGTGAAAAGCATTTACACTTTAGCTCGGGGTGAGGGTCAGTGCTTTTTCAAGATGTTTTAATTATGGAGACTCCCTCCACCTTCCCAACCTTCCTCTCACTTGTAATGTCAACATTGATTTGCTGGCTGCGGCCTGTTTGCCCCATTCTAAATTGTTATTGCATTAAATGAAAAGACTATGTGGGTGATTCACTCCATTCAATTACCAAAAGGTCACAATCGTACATTTTTTTTAGCTTAAACTGTGAAAACAGATAACAGAGATTTGACTCGTGATAATGCATCCTTTGCGGTAATTTGACCTTGTTATAAATATCGCCTGTATACCGTCAATGATTTTATGAAATTCAGCTTTATTATGTTATCCTGACTGCTTGAGTGGATACACACTATATCACCATGGATGTAACAGACCGGCGCTCAAAATATGATGGGAGGTTTGTTCTCAGGAGCTTACCGGTTTCCTCGGGAACGAGAGAACCTGCACAGATGTTATTTCGACTTGAAAGAGTCGCGCCAATTCAAGAGTCGTATGTTCAAAGAAAAGTAAAAGTGACGGGAGCATTTCATGTCTCTGACTTCCGACACTCACGGTCAAACAAAAGGCCCTCGCAAAGACTTATTGTCTCTTCTCGGGATGACCGTATTATGTTTCCTGACATGAGCTCTGACATCCGTCGAGAAAAAGAAAGTGGGTCCTTGAAACATCTGTGTTGTGATTATTCCAAGCCTCCTCCTCCTTGCATTCCACCCATTCTTCATCTCAAAGTGCGGATTGCTTTTCACATTCGTGCAGGTAGTACACAACTTGTATTTTTTGGCCTTTTTCAGTTACAAAACATCAAAACAAAAGCAAGCAAGTTGTGGAACCAGACCCACCTGCGTGTGTTCCACAATATAGAGAGAGATCTTTAAAAATGAGTGTACCTGAGCAGGCCTGCGCTGTGTTTTTGTTGGTGACAGTGTCCAATTCTGAAGGGAATTAATTTCAATTGATCTTAATGTAAAATATTTTGAAAGTCAACCAGATCAAACTTGGACCAGCTTCACAGAATGGATTAGGGGGGTCAAACTTTGAGTTGACATTGTATCAGCCAGTGACTTCAATGAGCTTTTTTTTTTGTAAAACCTTCGGATCCTGAATGGCATGTTAGTTCTTTTCTCATCATTCCTAAAATATACACAACACACTCTTCAGATAGCAACAGTGTTTTCCTCACCAGTAAACAACATTTTTTTTTCCAAATTACTTTCCAACAGCCTCCGGGATGTCATCATACACGTTTAGAAGCTGACCGATGTCACGTCTGCTCAAAGGAGACTTGTTCCGATGGAAAATGATGGCTTGTGTGGCATTGTTGGATGAGCATTACAAAGATGTGCTTTAACCCTTACATGCACCCTGTCACCTGATAACATGATAAACTGTCCACTGTAGTATCCGCTGTCCCTGAAATGGTTTCAAGGTAGAAAGTAGTGGCCTTCTTTTCATTTTGTTGATGGATTGGGTGGATAGTTCAAATGGGTTAAAAAATGGTGTGTACATGATGCTCCCATATTCTACCTGCACTTAGACTGTAGCAAATTTTAAGAACTTTAAAAACTTTATCCGAGGCCAATTTGGTGCTTTTGTGCTTTCTACCACTCACAAATTCCAAAATTCATCTTTGTGGTGTTCAAACAAGTTTGGAAAAGATCCAGCTGCAATCACAATGAGGCAGTTTTGTTCCATCGGTGCACACATTCTCATTTATGATTCCGACAGTCACAACTGGGTCGGTCAATCATAAAATACAAAGATCTGCATCTTGGATTTGAAGTATGTTCTAACATTATTGTGAATATTAGTTTGCTTGCAAGAACCGAGATGCTCCTCGAAGACTTTCCTGAATGTGGTGTTCCTTAAAAGGGGAGCGCTGGTTTACTGTTTAGCACATAATGATTGGAAGCAGACCAAGAAAGCACTCTAGTGCCTTCAACCTCTGTCCCTTTAGTGGTCCGGCGAAAGCGCTTGAGAGACACTTGCTGTAAAGTGCTGAAAAAAAAAAAGCCTTTTAGAAAATCCCATCCTTGTGCCTGTTGAAGAGATGCGACGATCCCTCTTCACCCTTTTAGTGAAGTGCTTTGTGATGTGCTTGCTTGCCCTCAGTCTGCACTCCAACACGAAAAACCCATGTTGACTGACAGACCGGCTGAGGTGAGCTAATTGGACCATCTAGCCAGGAAAATTCCATGGCCAGTTCCTGACAAGAAGACCCTGCTTGTCTTGTATTTGCAGTTCATTTTTGCAAAGTTATTCTAAAAGGTGTAAACTCACCCTAAAGCTGACACATACAGTGGAGTTTATCTTGTTAAAATGGTGGGAGATGCTGAGTTGTCACAATGCGGTCATTTAAAATGGAAACAATGCAGATGGCTTCGACCGTTTGTCAGTCTAACTGGCAATTAGGGTATGACTGCGTCAAGGGGAGGACACTCGCTATCGTACTATCTTGCTACGGGGAGGTTTTTTTTTCGACAATGACAACCTCCATATTTCATCTGGGCTCTGCACAGCGTCGAGCTTTCACTCCTTTTGCCTTGCAATTGTAAATCAGAATGCTCGTGTGTAGTGTTTGGAAACTCATCTGGTGGAATTACAGACATGCTTTGGGGAATGCTTACTGGCATCTCAATTTCGTTAGGGGAAATTAATGTTATTTTTTTTTCAATGCTGTCTTAATTGGAATTTGAGCATCCTCCTCCAAAAATCCGGTTTAGATGTGACTGTTGTACCTAATTGATATCGGCGCATTATTTGTTGCTTTGTAGGATTTCAATGATGAACATTGTGAAAATGACTACAAAATAGAGTCTTATGGCATATTATCTTGAACAGGGGTCGGCAACCTGCGGCTCCAGAACCGCATGTGGCTCTTTTATCCTTAAGTTGCGACTCTGCGTGGCTTGGGAATATAAATTATAAGTGTCCGATTGAAGTCGATGTTATTTGTCTCAAAAACCTAGATCACTTCTGTTATAGTCTCTGAATGTACACTAGGTGGCAGTGTTGGAGAGGAGAGACATTATCTAATGGCGACTATAGTGAATTGTACGAACTTGTGTTGTGCTGTTAAAAGCTTGTTACGAAAATACAGTGTTTGGCTACGGGCTGGCCTTGTTATTTTGCTTCCCGACACCACAACTTCTTTCTTCAGACCTTGTGCAATTCGGTGAGCAGTGAGCGCTTGACGTGTCAGCAGGCAAATTTGACTGCCGGCACCAAAACTGCACTGTATCGCAAGTATTTTATTTGTGTTTGTTTGTTTGTTTAATTGTAGTTCTAAATTGTAAGATTATTGTTTGTATTGATTGATTATTTATACATTTATCCATCCATTTTCTGATCCGCTTCATCCTCACAAGGGTCGCGGAACATTTAATGATGGCCGATTCATTTGCATTTACCTCTGACGAGAGATGGTCACCAGTATGCCGAATTTGTGGTGGACAACTGGCCAGCAATAAAAGGTCAAATAAAGAAAGACATTTCCAAAATAAACACACAGCCTTTGCTGAAAAATATCCGGAGTGAGAAGAGAGAAAAACAAAAAGCTGTTTCAGAACTGATGCCAAAGGCTGATCTGAATAAAAATCAATTCCAAAGTTGGATGAAGTCTGCAAATTTAACTACCTTCCTGCAAATTTTGTGGCCACCCGGGAAATAGTCATTTATGGGATGCCGTTCAAAGACGGAGAATATATGAAAGAGTCATTCATTAAGATTTTGTAAGCATCACACTATTTTACCAGCGTGAGAAAGATAGATTGATAGATAAAGCCTGATATCATCGAAACCAGGTCGACATGGCTCTTTGAGTATAAAAGGTTGCCGACCCCTGATCTCGAAGTTTCGGCCACGTGCATGTTGCCACAAAAATAGTTGAATTTGAAAGAATCATTGTTATGTTGAAACTTGCCTGAAAATTCCCATGAGGCTGCGTTCACTTACATTGCACGCCAGCTTTGTGTTGTGTTATCATGGGAAATTTTGCAAACAATGCAAAAGCAGCACTTTTACCCCCAATGTGATTCTTTCATTGGCTCAAATCCATCACATTGTGTTGTCATGGGGCAACAATGGCAGGCTTGTTGATTGTGGTTCTTTACGTGCCCTTTTCTGCGATGGGAGAGTGGCAAACTGAAAACGCGATGAAATGCACGGAGGGCTATTTTAATCTTAATTTTGTTGAGAAAGACTGAACGTTT